GAAGTAGGAAATCTTTTTAGGTTAGTAATTAATGGATTAGTTGTTCACTTTGAGGGAAACAGCTAGGTTTTGGCCAGCTATGCCCCAAATCTTTGAAAAATAGAGCGTAAAGTTACTGTAAGAATGAGAGAAGAAAGAAAAAAGTTATGCTAGATGTCTCTTCTTGATCTGCTTGTCGGTTTTTTTTAATTATTTTAACACTGATCTCTGAGAATGAATAAGTATAGCACTATGCAGCTTGACCCAATTCAAAGATTATTTAAGACTGCTCTTTATCAACACAATTCATATGGTAGCAGTTACTCTGCTGAACAACTTTGGTGTTAAATTCCTCCTGAAATAAGAGATACTGGAAAAAAGCCTGAAGGAAGGAACAGCGACGTTGCCTGAATAACAGCGGATTTGTACTGCAATTCCTCTGTTGCTTGGCCGATTCAAATGGTTCGGCTCTATCTCTGCCATCAGAAAATTCAGCATATCTCCGCGTCAATATACGCGTGTGTTATTTGCATAATGTAATACTAGTGTCTAATAATTAGCAGAAAGGGATTTTTTTTATCTTAAGCGTGTATTTTAAATGCAGGCTTCAGAGCAGCAGCGCTGCTATCGTCAGAGAAATGAGCTTGTGTCGTTATTAGGCAGCAATGCACTTAAGTCACTTGTGTAAAGGCCAGTTGTTCCCATTCCAGCTAACGAGCTAGCTGACCTTTGCATTATCATTTTTATTTATAAATGCTGTGAAATATAAAATAGTTTTTCATTACTGCGATAAAAGGCTGATAAAAGTTCTGGTTCTGAAACAAGCAAACAGGTCAGTGTAATGCAGGTCTCATCCTCAGCCCCGGACACAAATGGGCATTTTGCAGATCTGTAGCGGTTTGCTTAAGTACTGAAATGCCCTTTCTAATGGGTGGGGGGGAATCAAAGTTAATTAAAATCTTGTCTGCAGATAGAATTTCTCACATCACTTACCTGTCCTCTCTGCCTTCCCTTAAGGGAAAAGTCTTCATGTTCTGATTGTTTAATTTTCACTAGTGCTAAATGGTGTAGCCGCTGTAGGCGGTGGGACTCATGTAGCTAAATAACTTTTGGGTTTGGTTTTGATTCTGGGTTTTTTGGTGTTTTTTTCCTGCACTGCTCTAATCCTTTGCGGTTTTAATGTAGGAAAAATACTGAAGGGGGAACGCCGCCAGCCAATGGTTTATAGAATATTGACTGCTCATCCAAGAACATTCCCTGGCATTTTCACCTGCTGTTCTCACAACGTCCAGTTTGCACAAGGATATTAACTGGTATGGTTTAGTTAACTGCTTCATGATGTGGAAGAACATGGGTAGCGATTCTGTATCCAGCATTAGGATATAGTCATCCATCCATAATGAATATTTTGTGACAAAATTCAACCCTGTAGAGAACAGCATTAAGGAGAAGAAATCCAGACCTTTCTGAGCAGCTGAATTGCTACAAGGTTTGTAGCAACAGTTTTTGTTGTAAGAAATGTTAGTGAATCATGGAATCACAGATTGGGTTGTGTTGGAAGGGACCTTTAGAGGTCAGCTAGTCCAACCCTCTGCAATGAGCAGAGACATCTTCAACTCAATCAGGTTGCTCAGAACCCCATCCAACCTGACCCTGAATGTTTCCAGGGATGGGGCATCTACCACATCTCTGGGCAACCTGTGCCAGTGTTTCACCACCTTCCCTGTAAAGAATTTCTTCCTTATATTTAGTCCAAATCTACCTTCTTTTAACTGAAAACTATTACCCCTTGTCCTGTCACTACAGGCCCTGGTAAAAAGTCTGTCCCCATCTTTCTTGTACTCCCCTTTTAAGTACTGAAAGGCCGCAATCAGGTCTCCCCGCAGCCTTCTCTTCTCCAGGCTGAACAAGCCCAACTCTCTCAGCCTGTCCTCATAGGAGAGGTGCTCCAGCCCTCGGATCATTTTTGTAGCCCTCCTCTGGACCCGCTCCAACAGTTCCATGTCCTTCTTGTGCTGAGGGCTCCAGAGCTGGACGCAGTACTCCAGGTGAGGTCTCACCAGAGCTGAGTAGAGGGGCAGAATCACCTCCCTCGACCTG